TAAGACAGGAGTTACAATGCTTATTGTAGAGTGGGCACACTGCGAATGTGCCTTATATTTAAAGTGACATGCAAGTGTTTGTCACTGGTTGGTCAGATTGTTTTCATTTAGACTGAAGGTTGCTGGTGTAAATCGAATCGAGGCGAGGGTTGGAAAGCGTGAGACGGTAACTTCTACCGAAGGTGGGAGTCACAGGAGCAGCAAGCACTGATTTAAACAGAGCTGTCAGTCATGCCCAGGTTGCCCTTCAGATGGAGTTGGCTGAGGGTCTGCATTTCAGAGGCCAGGGGTGTTCCGTGCAACATGCAAAGAGCACTCGCTCTCTGACACTTACACAAGACACAGCTAGAAGCACAGAGAAAGCAGTATTAGCCTCCTTTCTCCTCTTTGCCCGGAGAAAATGATCTCAGAGACATACATTATAAAGCTTTCTGCAGCTGCAAATTGCCGTTGGAGAATTCCCAGAGTCCAAGCGTCGTATGGGCGAGTCCAGCGCAGGCCGAGAACAGGAGAGCTGATGTTCCTACACCTCTGGAGTGTCTCCTACACAGCTGAGCGAGGGTCGTCGCTTCACCTGGTCGGTTTAATGAGGATAATTCCTTTCTGCTTCCAAAGATCATCCCTTCTGCTGTCCTTAGTCACCACATGCTGCTTCCTGTTCCGACTCCTCCAGTTTTAACTTCAGCTCCTGTACACAGAGATGTCCCTAGGACACGACTGTCTTTGAGCCGAAGCTGCCGAGACATTTTCTGAAGCTAGCTTAGTAATTGCTATGTTCTTTGATAGTCTTTAAAGTAACCCTGGACCTAAAAACATGCTCCTCAGTTTCAGCATTTAATTTCTGGTCATTGTGCAAGAATCTCTCCTTTAAGATTGTCGTGCTAGGGAATATTTTGGAAAGGTTTCACTGTTTATTTTAATGTCACCTGTCCATTTAACCTGAGCACTGAGGGAAAAGGGAATAGAAGAACGTGAGCCAAAGCTGTCTTAACACTGGCTTAAGGAAGGAAAGAAAGGGCAAGCTTGCACCATTTTTCTGCGTTTTTTACTAAATCATGTCTTCGCATGTGTGAGGCCTCATATGCTCCTCAGTTGGCTGGTTCAGACATGTCCATAACTCATGTGCTAACACTCATGGTAACTTTAAGAGAAAGATGATATATTGCTCGAATTGAGAGAAACACGTTTGTATACATTTTTGTTTTTCTCTCACCTTTAGGTATTTTAAGTAGGTGTTGAAAGCAGTGAGTTAGGCCTGCTCGGTGGCCTGGTGGTTAAGGCAGCTGGAGTTCACAGGGTCGAGCTCATAGATCAAGTCCTGGACCTGGTGGCTTGAGAAACACACTGGGCGCGTGTGTGCGCATGTGCGTGTGTGCGTGTATGCGTGTGTGCATGTGTACAAGTGCCCGCGTCCTGATTGGAGAAATGGAGGAACGGGCTTGGGGTGTCACCGTCCCCTGGAAGGTTCTCTCTCATCTTCTCTCTCTCTAGAGAGAGTGCATGCGCCTCTGGCAAAGCAAAATAAAACAAATCCAAACAAACAAACGGAAAACCAGTGAGCCGAACATACAGCTAAGCTTTTGGGATTTGCCTGTTTTTAAAATAAAACGATGTCCGATTTTCAGGTGATGAACTTGTAGGTATTTAAGAAACAAACTGTAGTAAGTGTGTTTTCCCTCAGGAAGGACAGTGGGAGGGGAAGCTCAGGACACGTGGTTTTTAGGGGTGACTAGGCTGTGTGTCTTTGAAGGAATGACCCCGGGGGGACATTGTGGCCTCCATGCCCTGCACCTAAGTCCTAGCTCTGCCAGTGCGCTGCGTGTCTGCAGGACAGGAGTTAGAATCGCACCCACTCGGGGCTGTCGGTGTGAAGCAGACGGCTCTCGAGCACCCCAGGGCAGCACCTGCCACAGAGCAAGCCCACTCTGTGCGGGGTAGTGAGGAACCGCTGGGAGAGGCGTACGAGAGCAACCATCAACGGGAAAACACTTGCACCCCACGTGAGATGCCTGCTGTCTCACGTGAGTGTCTCCGTCAGGTTGTGGCAGGGCATCCGCGTCCTGATGTCAGCCTGAGAGCGCGAAGCCGGCAGCAGGGATTAGTCACTTACCATCGGAGCTCGAGCCGCCTCCCCTGTGTAGGCCTGTTGAGAACGTGCGGGGTGGAGGGGAGGGCAGCCGTGTGGATGGAACTGGAAGGAGGTCGCTGTTGTCCTGGCCCGGGAGAGCTGGCGTGACAGTGAGGATGTGGTTAGTGGGAGAGGGGCAGAAAGCCCAAGGCGCGTCCTGCAGGGAGCACACCAGCAGAGAGTTAGCCTCGTATGACAGGTGCGTGCAGGCCTTGCCAAGCCCAGGAAAATGCAGAGAGAGCTGTGGGTTCTCCAGCATTCCCTACGATCCCACTGAGTGCAAGGGGAGATTGGGAAGTGTTGGAGGAGGGACCGGCATGTGGTTAAGGCGCTGGACTCCCGCATGGCCGACCGCAGTTAGCGTCCCAGACCTGGGGGCTTGAAAATCATGCGGGGTGCATGTGTGTGCATGCCCATATTCCCAGGAGAAGAGGGGAGGAGAAGGGATTGTGGTGTGGCCATCCCCCCAGGGTGATTTCTCACTTTTCCTCTCACTGTCTCTGTCTGTCTCTTTCTGGCTGGCGTACGTGCCCTGTGACAAAAACCTTTGAAAAAAAGGAAACGGAAATGTTGGGGGACAGGGTCCTTTCTTTGCCCTTTGATATGTCCAGAACCTGCTAGACGCCCAGGAGGGCCGGAGGGGGTACAAGGACTTGGTCTTCGTACTTGAAGAGTTCACGTCTGGTGGGATGAGGCCAGTTATGAATAAATCCTACACACAGTGCGGGAGACTTTCACCTGTCACCTCTGGGGCCACAGTCCTGAAAGACTAACTGCTCAGGAGAGCCGCGAGACGTTTTCTGGCGACGGAAGAAGTGCCATTTGGAGATGAGGGGAAGCAGCCCACCCAGGACTAGGACCTGAAGACCATGGCTGCTGTGGCCAGAGAATCCCAGAGGATTCTGGTGTTGGCTCGGATTATGAAAGCCCATCTCTGCTGCTTTAGACGGCAGGATTCGCTTTTTGGATGATAGGGGGCTTTTGTATGAATGGTTACTTTCCTAGAAACGTCCTCAGTGTCAGTACTGGGAATATAGCAGTCTACTTACTTTTGGAGAGACAGAATAGCAGTCACCTTACACTCCACGTTGTCAAACTGTAGTGGGCGACTGCAGGTACGCTTGTCTTAGAAGCTCTGCCCCCGACACTTACAAGGACAAGCTTTGGGTTGGGCTTTCCCTCTCACCTGGTCACGTGCCTCTCTGGTGCAAATCGGCGTCAGTGGGACTGAGTCCTCCCTCTCAGCACCGGTTTTACCACTTCTGACGTCTCTCGACATGCTTTTTATTAGTACACGCTTGATTAAGCATTGAGGATGTTTCGATGATCAACTTCTTATTTTTAATTTATTCTGTAAGAGACTGAGAAGGAGAGAGACAGGTAGGTCCCGCCCCCAGCAGGTCAGTCACACCACGGTCCGTCCCCAGCCCAGGACTGCAGTGGTGTGCACAGACCAGGCACGCACAGGGAAGCCTCTGGGTGTGAACTCGGTTCCAGCTGTGTGGCCCGAGGATCACAGGGGATGCATTCCCACCACACCACTACTGCTGGCCGCTGGCTTCCAAACCATCTGAGTTCATGAAACCACAGGTACCGCGACCGTCATGGACTCATGGTGTTTGAGAACCAGCAGTTCCGGAGTTCGCCTTGTCATGTGTTCCACCTGCGAGAGGATTTGCTTTGATTTCGTTTTGTGCAGGAAAACAATACCTAGCCTCTGCTCGAATCTACCTGGGGCGAGGACTTGAGGGTTTCTCAAGGAAGGCTTTTCTGTTTCCTAGTGTCTCTGATTTTGGAAAGAGTCTTACAATCTACTGTTTTAGGAGCTGGATCCACTGGTCCTGCATCTGGCCTCTAGAAACTAAAAAATGTTTAATTCTGCTTTTACATTAGGACCCTTTAATATGTCAAGGTTGATAGACCCTCTTTTCCTGTCCCCTCAGCCTTTATCTTCAAGGCTTAAGAAATACCTCTGGTTTTCCAGGGTGGCAGTCATTTCTGAGCCTCGTCATCCTGGGTAGCCAAGCCGCTGTGAGAATCCTAGGTGTGCATTTATGCCAACTTGTCATTTTGTTTAGTTTTGGGAAAAGCAGACAGATAGGTAACTACTTTTAGTAAAATGTTAAATTGCACACCTGAAACAGATAGGCTTGGGGTATTAGTCCATCAGAGACAGAATTTGCCCACTTTTAAGTTCATAGATATGCCTAGTCTAAAAAACTTAGCTCCGTAGCACCTGGACTTAAACTGAGGCAGAATTGTCATCAAAGTACTTTCAAAAAACCTTCAATACATTCCAGTATCAGCTACACATCTCAACACGTGAGCTAAGCAGTTCGCTATAACTGAGCCGAATTCCCTTAAAGGGTGAGAGCGGGGGGCCGAGGTTTGAACTTCGTTCTTTTCTTCCAATCTTGCCTATGGGGATGAATCACGCTGACGATTCCTCACCTTTCTTTTCCCCAAAACTGAATGAAAAGCTAATAAAACAGAAATTTCCATCTCCCCACAATGCTTTGGCTGACAGGTTAGGCCATTTGGGACGGTGACTGCTATCTCTGCTGTATGTCGAAGTTCCTAGCTCAGACCCTGGGGGCTCAGTCACAGCCTGTTCGTGACCTGCACATTCCGGGCCGAGCTTTGCACAGGATGTGAGTTTCGAGTTGGGCCCCAGTCTCCTCTCAGTAAGCGCAATGGAACCTGCTGCAGAGTCCTGTACCAAGGTGTCACCGGCCTTTGACTAGCAAGACTTGAGTTCTGCCCGCCATTTTATTCTTTTCTCAAATACAGAACGAGGACGACCAAACCGAATCTCAGCCTCCCGGTTTGCATTTTCTGTGTAACATGAGCTTTGTTTGTGTTTTCTCAAAAGGCGTTTAAACAGAAACCACCTTCAGCTGTTTCCGGAGTTGCTGTTCCTCGGAACCGCGAAGCTGTACAGGCTGTAAGTAGACTTCGTGCATGGTGGCTGCTGCTCTGGGTAGGGCCTGCTGCTCTATGAACCACTTTTGGATCCGTGTCCTGGCGCGTTCCTGAAATCTGTTCACCAGGAGATGAATGAATTAAAAATGTGTCTTTTGTTTTGAAAGAAATTTATGATTGGTTATTCCGTGGTTCCAGTCATTGTATTTGTTTAGTATTTAGTGATTTATGTGTGTGTTATTGTAATTATTTTTTGGTCATGTGGTGGTGTGATTTACCTATGTTTTTATGGAAACTTTTGAGTAAGTTCTGAAGGGAAGAATTGCTACCAGGCTTCCTTTTAAGAGAAAGTTGGCTGTGCTTTCTTGTAGCTTCTGTACTCAAGTAGTAGTGCTTATTAGTCTGGAAATGTAGTTATAAGATATCCAGAGAGGGTTGTAAGTTTCCTCTTTGCGTTTTCTTGGTTTTTCTTAAAGCTGGAATTCGAAACTCTGCAATATGAATGACTGGGAGGCAAGGTTTTCCTATCAGTGTGTCGTCGGCTGTTAGAGGAAGGCACACTTGAAGGAGCAGAATGCGAGCGAAGAACGAGTCAGCGTTTCCTTGCTGGAAGTCGGCTGTTAGAGGAAGGCACACTTGAAGGAACAGAATGCGAGCGAAGAACGAATCAGCATTTCCTTGCTGGACTGCGTGTTTGCTGACCTAATTATAACAGGGAAACACATTTCTGAAGGCTTTACAATGAGATTTTCAGCACATGAGTGATCTGGTGCAGAGGGGAGATAAGCCTGGGAGTGTTGGGAAATGAATAGCAACGATCCTGGGTGTCCATGCAAGTTGTCAGTGAACGGCTCGGACACACAGGACTGCCCAGGGTGGCCCCAGCTGGACGGGGGTCCCCTGTGGCAGCGTTTGGGGAGGGAGTCGGCCTATGGCTTCTCCCAAACTTGAATTTGTAGCCAAGGCTTTTAAATATATACATACATATTTCATTTTAATTTCTTTAATACATTCAATCACTATACATCACTTAGCTTGTAAAGTGAATTTTCCAACATGAATTCTTTTCTCACCAGTTCAGTTGGAGATACCACACACATTACCAGCAACAGACAATAACCCATTTCTTTCTTTAACCTGCTAGTTCAATATTGCTATTGACTCTGGAAATAGGAACATTATCCCCCCCACACACCTGTAATCAGGACCTCTGCTAGGTCCTCCTGAAGCCCAAACTTGGCACACAGATCTCTTCCCACTGGCCCTGTGCAGCTTTTCTCTCTGCATGGACAAGCAGATAGTGTAAAGGCTATGTTGGTGGACTCCCGCGTGACTGACCGGCTCGAGTCCTGGACCCCATGTCTTGAAACTCACACCGGGTGCATGTGCGTGTGTACCCCAGATCCTGAGAGGAGACTGCAGGAGAAGGGACTGTGGTGTGGCCATCCCCCGGGGGTGGGTGATTTCTCTCCTGACGTGGTTCCTCTGGGAGAGCCAAGGCCCTCTTGCAGTACTTCTCCCTGCTCTGCATTCTCTGCTGCTCACTCGGTCCAGTGTAAGAACTTTTTCCAATATTAAAGAAATCTGAGAATTGCATTTTTAACACAAATTCTCCCAGGACCACTTTTCCAAGTAAGTAGGATGTAGGTTTCCGTGCAGATTACATGCGTGCACGTCAGAGGAGATTTCTGTTTAAGTACTTGTGCTTACCTTCCAAGAAGGGTCGCCGAGGGAGTTTGGACAGCATTCCAGCTCCTGCTTTAATTTTCGGTGGTGGGGAGGTTGCAGAGAATTGACGTGAGGGCGGTGTCCACTGAGCGCTGACCCTGAGCTTGGTCCCACCACACCTCTGCTAGCAGTCACGGTGGAAACACAGGCAGGGCCGTCGAGGGAGTTGTTTTCTTGGTACTGCAAAAATAGAACTTACAGAGACCAGCAGGTGGCATAATGGCTATGTTGCTGGACTCCCATGTAGCCAAGCACGGTTCGAGTCCTGGGCCCGGTGGCTTAAACTCAGGCCAGGTGTGTGTGCGTGCATGCCCGAGATCCCGAGAGAAGAATGGAAGCGCTATCTCTCTGTCTCTTTCTGTCTTTCTGGTGAGCGCACGCGCTCTATTGCAAAAACCTCTCCAAAAAAAAAAAATGTAGAGTGTGTGTTACCTGAAACTCTGAAACTGAAATGATTAAGGTGAAGAGGGGAGATGTAGAGAGTAACTCCCATCCTATCGCTCATAAACAACGTCTGATGTTCCATCTTGAAGTACTTGATTTCCCCAGAAGTTGTGAGGTGGTATAGCTCATTGCAGAATTCCACATCAGCAAATTGGACTCTGTTGGCCATAGTGTCTTCTTTGACAAAACCACAGAGTGGACTAAGAGATCTTTCTGTTATTTTTTCCAGGATGATTTTATAACTTTATGAAGGTGAGATTACTTGCAAGAGTGTATTTCAGGATTCCCGAAGCTATGGCTTGATGGCAGCTTCGTGGTTAGCACTGACAAAGCGTCTCTTCTGGAATTTGAACCCTGACTGAGGTAGTGGATGCACATGGAAACCCCCAGGTGTGATTTCTGTCTCCGTTCTCAGGGCAGAAATGGCATTTTGAGTTGAGGACCTGTTGCCTCACCCGAATTAGTCTCAGGTGAATTGTCTACAGTGACATTTCTCTCGAGAAGAAGTGACCAGTTACATGTGATCAGTTTTTTTTTTTTTTTAAATGATGGTGACCATTGCTTAAATTAAACAACCATTATTACGAGTCTTTAACAAAAGCGTGCGAAGCTGGCCACAGGGATCTGTGTAATTATGAAGAGCAGGGATGTGGGTTCTAATGTTCCTCATTCCAGGCACCACTGGCGTGTCTAAAACAGATTCGAGCAGATGGCAGATCTGCGGTCACTCATGTGTCCTTTCAAATGTTCATTTAAACCTGCATCTTTGACCAGAAGGGTTACTGGCAAAGGGTGCAGATAAATGACAAGGGATGAATAGCTGTGGCATCTGGAAGGTGACCCCTCGTTGTCCCACTGTGTCACGTCGTGGAACCGTAAGTATCTGGATGTCATCTAAGACACCAGTGCAGGGTTTCTTTGGTCTGTGTCAGTTGCCGCGTGGTGCTCCGTGCTATCTCGGTTTCTTACAACTTGTATTCCTCCTTATCGTGTTTTTCCTGCTGTGTCACCATGAGCAAGTTTATCAGTTCACTGAATAGCTCAGTGCCCATGTTTGCTGTTTAGCATTGTCCGTTAGGTGACAGCCAGCCTGAGACTGGACGTGATGTGGATTCTCCTTGAGCTTTGGAATCGGACAGTCACCATTTGACTCTTGGCTGAAAATGAGATGCCACCGGAGAAGCGTACATGCTTTTCATGGCCTTGAAATGCAATCGGAAAGCAAAGGAGGCTGTCCCATGGATGACTTATGATTCGACACGCTCGGCTGCTGCAAGCAGCCAACATGCCTTCCCTCTGCCGTCTGCTCCGGTTTCTCCCCGGCCGGCGGAGAGAGCACGGCGTGCTTAGGAGGAGGTGTTTGCTCAGAAACAGCAGTCCAGCCCAGCTGTGCTGTTGGAGAAGGACACCCGCGGAAACGGCATGGCCACTGACCCACTCCGTTAGCGCGGTCTGTAAAGTGAGACCAAGTCCACACAGACCACAGGACGGTGTCCTAAAATGGCGAGCGCTCGCTGACAGATGGAAAGTGAGAGGGGAGGGAAGGTGAGGGAGGGTGATAGGTTGGAGATAAGAGGCAGCCATAGTTTCCTCACTGTCACGCAGACTCCATCCTCTCCCTCGCTCCCCTCCCACGCTGAGGTGCATTTTTATCAGCAGCTGCAGAATGGAGAACCCAGGAGCTGGGCGACTGCAGAGCAGGCCACAGTGTTTCGGAAAGGTGGACTGGGATCTGGTGAGAGTGACGGGGCGCACGGAGAGCTTCGCTAGCCGTGTCTCCTCCATGCCCACAGGGTGCACACCGAGAGCGTCGCTGGCAGG